TCCCCAGAATGCTGGATGTTTGGGAAATCGAGGAACTCGGTGACTTCCGAACTTACAACATCAATATTCAACAAAAGTTTTCTCAGACAAGAAAGCTTTGAGCGTTCTCAACAAGTGATACTCTGACGGCGCAAAGTCTGGAGAGTGGGGTGGATATGCAAAGGGATGCCTCCCAAGCTCCATCAGTTTTTCACGAGTCGTCGAATCGACATGAGGCGGAGTGTTGCTTTCACGGCATCCTCCAATTTCTGGAGCTCATCTCATACACGGTAGCGGTGATAGTCCTGCCCTGCGGTAGCAACTCGTTGTAAAGCATTCCTTTGGAGTCCTAGAAACACGAGAGCATAACCTTTTTCGAGTGGAGTCGGACTTCGGCTGCGTTGGCGGTGGCTGCGATGGCGGTTCTTCACCGCGCAGAAGCCAACCAGCACAATGGGTGTTGGCATCGTAGAGATCCAACTCTCATCTCCAGTAATCAGGTCCTCAAGAAACTCCTTGCGATGCGGCTGGAAGAGAAGAGATTGAACGATAGTCAGGCGGGCCATCCTCATGCCGTCGGTTGACTTATGTGATACCCATTTCGCCAAAACTTTTCGGCATCCAAGAGCGTGAGGGCGGTTTTCTATCGCTGTATGCGCGCATCCGAACCTGCTTGCTAAATCCTGGTGGTGTAAGGCTCTTCCTTTAATGACGACGAGCAATGCCGAATTTTCGAGCACTGAAGGACGTCCACTACTAGGTCGATCTTCCATGTCCGTCTCTCCATCCTCGAAGCGTTTATACCAATTGCGTACGGTACGATCGGTAGTCGTTCCTTCACCGAATGCGTCGTTGAATTTTCGGGCTACAGCGGCTGCATTAGTCTTATAGCGCCACTCGTAGAAAAATATTGCTCGAATATTGGTGTTGGTAATTTCAGCCATGGTTAATGCTTAATGAAAGTGAAACGGTTTATATACCCCATAGGGCGAAGCTCCGTGAATGTTCTAGAATATTCTCAGGTATACCCGAATGCCCGACATCCTTCTATATTAAAAAGCAACTTTTAAAAAAATCGGAAAATACTTTTTTGCCAATCCTAATGTTATGTAGGAGCGCTTTCATGAGCTTGCACTAAGCTAGCCATCCGCAAAAGCGTTGTCCGCTGCAGACAGTGGGGAGCACTGTCTGGGTGCTGGAGTTTGGCGTGGCGCCAGTCCGTCCTTCCACCAGTTGCTGTCGCTTGCCCGCTCCAACCATTGGTGGAGAGCGGGCTGGCGCTGCCCCAAATCCAGTCGCGGCATCCGCAGCGAACAAGACTAAGCACCTGTGAATTCTATGACTTCACCTAGTGAGAGTTTCAAAAGAATCAAGGAACCAAATATTCATCAAAGGGCAGATAAGTCTCACGTCGTGGCTATAATCACCGGCTTTTTCTTGAACTTTGCGAAGAGGTCCAATAGGAGCCAGAACTGCGAATATATCTGAAAATAGCGATCGTCATCCATTACACATCTTTTCTCGGAGATTTAATTAGTGAGTGTCTGCCGATGCCGGCATTAAAGCTGAATG